TTCTTATATAGTTGATATGTAATTACTTATATAAATTAATCAATAAAGATATGAGCAAGGCCTCACTTTAATACCAAAAATAAAAAAAAATAAAAAATTCTAAGGAGCATGCCATAAATCACATAATACTTTTCTATTAAGAGTCTTACTTATCTATTTATAGTGTAATCATATATAAATAAATAGCAAAAAAAATTGAACCAAACCAAGGTTCGGGTCAATAAAATCGCAGATTAAAAATATATCAAAATTCTAATTAGCTAAGCTAAATTTAAACTAAAATTTGCAAATATCCGTACTAGCACATTGGTACTTGGCCGGGCACTAGTCTCTTATAACCATATCTGTGTATATAGGTGCAACACTATTAAAGGTATAGACCAAAGCACAAAGTGTTAAGAAAAATATCAGGCACGAGCTCGAGTTGTAAATCCCTAATTTATATAATTAAGCATAATACTACTAAAGTTTTATAGCCTATTATTAAAAATACATAGCTGATAATTTTGAAAGTATAATATTTTATTAAATAGTGCCATTTAATATTAGCCTGGCACTAAAAAATCCTAAACTAGAATTTGAAAAAGTATTCTTATAAAACTTATTTCAGGGATGATATATATCAAACCCTAGTTGGCTTACCCGAATTCCAACTATAACTCATTCATTTGAGACATCTAAAAAATTTTTTGATAACCGAATTAATAAGTTACATTGAATAAATTACTGATGTCGACTAACTTCAAAAACTTATCAAATTGGTCATCATCAATTTTTCAAATACTCAAAAAATAATAATGAGTATTTCGGATTATATTCTTCTTATACATAATAGCTCACCGGTAATCTATATTATAATGCCTACAATTATGAGAATTCAATTCGGTAAAAATCAGATAAAAGACATGACTGAATTAAGCAATTAAACAGAATAATATCAATGATACACAAATTCAAATCAAACATATATGAGAAATATATCTAATACTGTTGAACAAAAAATTAGTAACAATTTAACAATGTCCAGATGACAGTACTATGGGCATGAAGTCGGGTAAATGCATAATATATGCATATATATATATATGCATGCCTAGCAATGAAAATTTCTAATTATTAACAATTGTTAATGAATTGTTAACTATATAAATCCTTTAACAATTAACAATTTATATAGCTTAACAATTTGTTAACAATTGTTAATAATTAGAAATTCCCATTGCTATACATGCCTATTTGTCACTATTGTTTATAAATTCAATAATACATTGTTTTGACTTTCTTGACTATCCAGTAAAGTCAAACAAAACAATGGTTCTACTTACCATATTTCTGTGAAATAATGCTTATGGGTTATTTCAAAAATCAAAACCCCTTAAAATAGCATTAAAAAACATACGGTTGTCAGAAATGTCAGAGGTATTGTCTCAATATCTTCAACCTTGTTGGCTGGCTATAAATATCCAGAGTCAGCATAGCCTAGTTCTATCATTTCTTCTGTGTTGGTAATGTGTAGCGAAGTATTGCTAAAAGGTCAATATACAAAAAAAAAAACTTTTATTACAGAATTTGCACTGTTATACAGAAGTGTACAAATTGTATGATCCTTGGGTATTACTTCAAGATTTTTTTATCAGGATGTAAATCAAAAAAGTCTTTCATATTTAAGACAACTCCTTTCATATGAATATGTTGTATATGTGATCTCAAATTAGCACCCATAGGTATTCCAAATACATAAAAAGTAAAGAAACCAAAAAGTACTCAAGAACTAGATTCGGTACTAAGTAAGCCTACTTCTGAATTTAACAAAAAAATTCTTACATTAAAGCAAGTAGGTTTACTTAGTGCCTCTAGTTTCGGCATATTTTTAATCTTACTATAATAAAGGGTACAAAAAAAGTTAGCCTTTAATTTACATGGACGTACTTGAAATGACATATAGGTGAGCATTATTCTGCAGCTATACAGTATTGTATTCATTGTAATTTGCCACAATTCTAAAATTCATTTTTGAATAAAGAATATGTGTTTTTCTATAATAAAAAGGCTTAAAATTAATAAAGTATTTTTTGAATTCGAACTATCTCGAATAAAAACCAAATATTAAAGTATTAGATTTGCATCTTTATTATGAAAAAAAAAATATAGAGCTTTTTAAAACTTTCTAAATTTGATACATACCTATTTTATAAGTCTTCAACTGATTTGTACCAAGAATTTTTTAATGCTTACACCTATTATAAGCAGGCTGCTCTTTGTAACTCTGCTCCCAATAAACAAAAATTATTAAGCAAAGCCCAAACTGCATGGAAAAAAATAAGAAATGAGAATGAAAACATAATTCGCGAAAAGATCTAATTATACTTAGCAACAGAACCAAGCACAATTTGTTCCTATTATAATTTTATAGTAAACACCAACTCCAGAGCTTCTACATCGAAATCAGTTTCGCACTTATCTACTTTATTAGCAATTTCATCACAACTTGATGACCCTGATATTGTGGCCAAAAATGCAATAGGTCAAAATGATGCAATAGCTAAAATCAAGAAAGCAAATCAGTGAATATCCAAGTATAAGCAAATGATCAGACTTATTAGTGATCTTAATGCAAAAAATAACTTATTAACCAAAATTAAAGAGGACTGAGTAGTTATCAAAGTAAGTGAAAAAAGACTAGGAAAACTTAAACGTTATACAAAAGCTCAAGCTAAACTTAGAGCAAAAAAGCAAAAACAACTCAAAGATAATGGTATCGTTGAGCAATATAACAAACCTGGACAACCATCAACAGCTATGTTATATCCGGAACTTTGGAACAATATTCATGATTGTGTAGAATTTGAATCTGCTTATGCTAAAAGACGAAAGACAGTAATTAAAGTTTGTACTATCAAATATTTGCATGAAGCACTAGAAGAAAGATACAATATTTACCTCTTGCTTCAGTGTTTGTCAGTATATTTAGAACCTTGGCACAAACACATATTCGCAGCCTGTTGTCACCACCATCCCGCAAAGTTAGTCTGGCATCAGTTGCAAGAACTGATATGAAGCAACACATAGATGAATATTATTGCTTGGCATCTGTTAAGGCAGCTCAAGTTTTTGTAGAGATATTTGCAAGTGATACAATTATCGTCTTCTAGGACAACAAAGCAAAAATCAGGTTAGGTGTTTTCATGGTAGGCCATACATTTAAAACCATACAATCGACGAATGAACTAGTTACTATTGAAGATTATGATTTTCCAAAAGGAAGTAAAATAAAACTTATACCTTTGGTATACCTTGTCATTAATTCTGCCGATTCAAACACTACGCTTCGCTCTAGACAACTTGCTATATTTATCAGATCTGAATATTTCGTGAACACATCGTCATCTATACATATAGACAACTTACTAAGCCTTGTCGACAATCAAGAATTTGCCTCTGTTCTATTGTATGAAAATAAAGTTAGACCCATCTGGGTTCTTCTCGTTGACAGGGGGCCTGATGAGAATCCAAAGCACTTTAAAAATATCATTGAATATTGTAACTTATTTCAGACTCTAGATCTTGATTATTTAACTGTCCGCACGCATACACCATATCAAAGTGCTTATAATCTCTTTCAGAAAAACTTGCCAGTATTACTTTACCTATAGATGAATATGGTGTGTATCTGAATTCTCAAGGAAATGTTGTAGACGAAGAGTTAGCATGGCAAAATTTTGAATTTTTAGAAAATCAATTATGTAAGCTTTGGAGTAAAGATAACACATATAGTAAACCTGTTACAGTATACTATATTGATCAAAGAAGTTAACTATTTGGTAATATTGCACCTTTAACATGGGATTGGATTGAACGTCATACTTAGTTATGTCGATATTCATTAGATTTAAAAAAATGCAAGAATTGTCAGTGTTGTCGTGAATACAGAGCTTCTGATACTGCACTTTTACTGGACCTAAATGATGGATTTCTTCCCTCTATCACCAAAGGCATGAATAGTCATTTCATCGATCTGATACACGCTTTCTAATATTTTGACAAATTAAAGATTCAGCTATATGATCACTCATGCCTATCAATTTCAAACGAAATATACCAGCTCTTATGTTGTAGCAAGTGTGGTAAGTATTTTCCTACTTTGAAATTCATCACAAATCATAAATGTAATCAACATCATCCAAGCATGATCGACCTCAAAAGCAAGTTGGTGAGCCTTCATTAGAAGCAGGGTGATTAAACTTTAGAGTTGCTGAAAATATAGTTGGTTGCGATCGTGAGGAAGATATTTCCAATCTGCATGATTTACAATCTGACAATAAATATGAGGTAATAGATATTAGAGTATATAATTAGTTATAAATATATAAAAAAATTAAATAAGAACAATCTACATAACTTTTGTCTTTATAGTCTATATTGCAATAAAAAATTATATGTTATAAAATGTATATACTATTTATAAAGTTTTTATTAGTCTGACCAGGTGGTTAGAATTTATATTATACTACAGATTTTAATGTACTGACTAACTAGTTTAACTAGTGGTTCAATTGAATAGATCACATTTTAAACCATCTGGTTAAATGACTTAATATCTCTAGTTTTTATAAATAATATTCATACTATGTACTATACAAACTGCTGTTATAATTTAAGAATTTGGTGTTTTTGTATACTATATACTATTGTATGCTACTATTATATTAGAGAACCTGCTTGTATACAGAGTATTTTTTACCAAATCCTATAATTTCTTATTTCATATTTGAATTTGATTCCACTTAGACCATAATTTACTATAGATCTTGTTATCTACTGCTGTGGTAATAGTAATATATATATTATCCCTTAAATTGTAACACAGGCAAATTTGTCTGCGAAGATTTTTACTAATTTTTTTTAATATTTAAATTTTTTAATAAAATTTTGAATATTAATTTTAGCTATATAC